AATTTCGCGCAAAGCTACACGAGGGCTATCTGCGCTAGCCGTCCCTAATTTAGCAGTGTAAGACTAGAGGGAAGGCAGCTAGTCATCACCACCCACCGCCAACTCTCGGGCTACTATTTTACCAACGAATAGTGGGATTGACCGTCACATTTTAACGCCCACACGGCTGAAAGGGCCAGCATGTTTGGTGGGAGGGGGATTCGAACCCGCGACCCTCAGATTGCGAGTCGAGTGCCCTAACCACCTGGCCATGCCGGCCCTTAAAAAAAAAAAGAATCTCAAAGTTAATTATGACAATGTTCTAAGCTACTCCAATTTGTGATTTATCTGTGAATTTAATTTTAAGTGTATCATGTTGATCGGCATGTTTCTCTATCAACGATGGATTTCGGGAATTTTCGCACAAAAGTTATTTGCACAGAGACATTCTTAATTTTGAAGTGACAGAACAGGGGGAAAGGCAGAGAGTTAACAGCACCCATCGCCATCTCTTGGGCTATGTTCGACTGAATTTCATTCTTATAGTACGTCTTTACAACAACGAGACACGAGCCACGAATGTTCGGAAGCACATTCCGAGCACGTTAGCAGCTCTTTTTAGAAAATACTATATAATAGGTTTTTTTTTCCCTCTTTACAATTTCCCTCTTTACAATCAAATACTTAAGTATATCACGTAGCAATTACTAGCGTTTCACGAGCTAATCTGAAGAAGTTAAATAAAAATGTTAAAATGTTGACATTTTTGTGCTGCAGACCACCTAATAACTATTACAAGTACTACGTTCTGACAACTGTTATAATTACTTATATCAGCTTTTAGAAAGGGAGCTAGATAATGAAAACTGTAGATGTTGGCATCGTTACTCGCTAATTTTCCCGTGTTGTATTCTTAGCACAAACCGAATGTTAGATTTTATCTATACGATTCCGAGGGCCTCCTGGGACTATTTTTCATCATATATTATAATTCAAGAACTTAACGTTTTCATACTTAGATATAAACTTGAAGAATCCAGAGCCTCTGCTGACTCGTCCGTACGTCTTGTGGCTTATAATTATAAAAGTCAGGTTTCAAAACTTGTGCTGGGTACCGCGAGGGCAGTCCTCGTGCAGCTTTGCGTTTGAAACAAACGAATTAATGAAGCTCGAGCACTCTTGCAACAGTGCAAAGTGCAAACTGAATTGATATTCTGAGGTTAACAGATAACAGCAGTTGCTTCTACAATGACAAACTGATAAAAGTGGGAGACAATATGAAAGTGGGGGGTTTGTTTGTAGTTATGTACAAAGCTACATAATGGGTTATCCGTGCTCTGCTCACCACGGGTATCGAAACTAGATTTCTAGCGTTGTAAGTCCGCAAACATACCGCTGTGCCACTGGGTGGCATGATGAAACTGATCCAATACCAGGATTCCAGTAAGATAACTTGAATATTAGTGTTAAATAAATTAATTAATGATATTGTTTGATTGTTTGTAGTTAAGCACAAAGCTACACAATGGGTTATCCGTGGCTTAGCCCACTACGGGTATCAAAACCCGGTTTCTAGCGTTGTAATTCTGCAGACATACCGCTGTGCATATATTTAAAATGGTCATTAAAATCGGATTGTATATCTTTTTTCATAATATGTTTTGCTTTTGTCTTTAATAAAACGCGGAATTCTTCTACATAACACCAATACAAAGTTGCTAAGGTCATCATTTCATCCACAGTGAATTTCATTCTTGTTTTTATTTTATAGAGAACAAAAAGAAAAGAAATGTACAAAATTTCCTTTTAAATAAAACCTGC